ATGGCGCCAGCTGGTAGTGTCTTGACACGTAGGGTAGCGTCACAGTGGTGCAGCCGAGATATGCAGCAGGCAGGATGGCGCTCGCCGTCGTAATGCCCATTCCCCCTCTCTCACTGATAGCGCCATCTGTCGTCGCTGCGGCCCGGTGGTGTCCTCTTCTCCCAGCCCGTGGATGGCGATGGCTGCATTCATGACCTCCTCATCCCTCAGTAGCGCCGTGACCTCGGTGGTTGAAGGGCGCTGGGGAAGGAGACGAAGCCTGTAATACAGCCGTGGGACTGCGCAAGAGAGGAAGAGGAGCGATGAGTCCTGCCGCTGCTCGTGTGCGAACGCCTTGAGTCGTTCGATGAGGGGGCGGTGGGAGTCGAGGACGCTCTGCAGCTTGTTAGCGACGTAGCCGTTCGACCCTGTTGCCCCACCCAGGATGTAAATGCCCTCACCCGATACCCCCTCCCTCTCAAAGCTAGGCAGCAGGTCGTCCGGTGGTGGCTCGCTGTCCGTCCAGTGGGGGCCGTACGCCTTGAGGCTGATAGTCTGCAGCTCTTCCTCCGCCTTGTCCACCACCCCGTCTGCCTCACTCTCGTTGGCCCCCGGTGTGATGTCGTCCATGAAGGCTTGTGTGAGGGCGCGTGGAAAGCTGGCTTGGATGGCCTTGAGTACCGGCTGGAGGGCCAGACAGAAGAGGAAGGAGATCTCCTTGCTGAGTGCCTTGTTGGCTCAGGATGGTCCTCACTCTGCCGTCTGCGAGTCAATACCACAGCTCCGCCGGCTCTCCATAGAACTGCCAGAGAAAGCGAAAGAGCTCAGGGAACTGGCTGGCGAGCTCGTTGACGATCGCCTGACGGTTCCACCTCGTTGAAGGCGTTCGTCCAATCCAGCCCCATGAGCAGTCGCTTCTCGCCCTCCCTCCGGCTCTGGATGAAGGTCTCGGCGGCTTTGAAGAGCTTCTCCTTGCCTGACATGTGTACCACGCGTGAGAGAAAGCTCGCATCCCGGAGCTGTCTGGGTACTCGGAGCCTTGAGGACGTTTCGTCCGGTGGCGTAGGATCCCCCGAGCGGAGCGTGAGCGGTGAGGGCTCCCTCTCGCACTCGCAGCCTGCTCGCGAGTGCGAGCCGCCGGGCGATCCTTGGCCCAGATGCCAACGTCCAGATGCCGGGCTCGCGTTGATGGCGCGTCCACGTCAGCGTGTGGACGCGCATTGTGGTGTTGATGATGTTTTGGTTTTGAAGGTCGCATCCACCGCAGCCATCCCGGCCTCCCCGTAGCCACCCCTTTTCCCATCCCTTTCCGTCGTCAGCGGCGTGGCTTTTCCCCACCATGAGGAGAACCCGCAACGCCTTCAAATTCAAGAAGGCCAATTTCGACTGGTCTGGCGTCGACACCGGCAACCTACCGGACGTCTTTAGCTTGGGTGACCTGGAAGATCTTGGCCAGCGGGTGCGCGTCGGGCAGTATCTGAAGACCGGCCTCAATAAACAGCTGGGCGACCTCAATCTCGACGAGGTGGAGCTGGAACAGCTGCTGCAGGACCAGATCTCCCACATAGAGGACGAGATCATCGACGCCCAGAAACGACCTCTGCGTGTGTTCGCAGCTTTCGTGACCTGACTTGTACCCTGTTTCGTACCCTGCTTGTCGGTCTTATGATACGCGGAGGTACGCGCGCGTAACACGATTCTGTTCACGAGACATTCAATAAACGCTAGACCCGAGTCACCCTAAACACTTGTCATGGGCGTTGCGGCGAGGAGGCGCGGCGAGAGCGTGAGACCGCGGAGCAACGACGACGTGAGGCCGAGGCGTGGCGACAACGTGAGACTGAGGCGCAGCGACAGCATGAGACCGAGGAGCGGCAACAACGTGAGACCGAAGAACGGCGCAGACACGAGGCAGCGGACCAGCCGCGCAGTGTGCAAGATGGCCTGTGGGCGGCAGGCGAGGCTGCCCAAGGCGCCGGGGGTGCGGGCCGTCAACAATCAGGAGATCGACGCGGCAGTCGGCCGCCGTCAGGGGAGGTCGGCAATCCCAGCAGTGGCGCCCTCGCCGACCACTGGCAGGTAGACCGGGCCCGCTTGGTGGGCAGGGCCCTCCCGGTGGGCCGCCTAGAGGCCCTCCCCCTCCGCCCCCGCCCCCCACGAACTCTGTTGACGGCCACTGGCAGCGATCGCATCGGACCCTGCCGGCCCCAGGAGTGGAGTTTTTGACCGGCCAGTCTGAGGCCGATCACTTTGCGGACTTCCAACACGCCATCCACTCCATCGAGCGGCTCCCGCAGTGTGCGCGGCTCGCCCTGCGGGAGGTCGTAGAGGCTGTGGAGCGGCTGTTTGAATCGACGGCGGCGGGCGACTCTGATAAGGCCTGTCTAGTGCTGCTCTACATCCCCGTCCTGCTGCTCTTCCCCATGAACCGCGGCGGCGAGCGTGGTGCGGGC